TCTCTCTCTCTCTCTCTCTCTGATAACCTCACCCAGTCTCTCTCGCTCTCTCTCTGACCGCTGTGTTGTGTCGCCCCCTGCAGGCCTGATCTGGAGCTGCAGTTTAAGTGTTACCACCACGAGGACCGACAGATGAACACTAACTGGCCTGCCTCCGTTCAAGTAAGTGTTGTCCGCTTTTCTTTGCATTTAAAGGTAAATAAAGATGTACTTGTCTTTTAATTGACGTCATATTTTCCGCCTCAGGTGAGCGTCAACGCGACTCCTCTGTGCATCGAAAGAGGCGACAACAAAACCTCCCACAAGCCCCTGTACCTGAAGCCGGTGTGTCAGCCGGGACGCAACACCGTGCAGATCACAGTAACCGCCTGCTGCTGTGTAAGGAGCTCTCGCTTTCCCACAATGCAACGCGTGTCTACCGTTTACATTTAAACACATCAAATCCCATTTTAAGCCGTTTCCTTGTCTCTTTCCAGTCCCACCTGTTTGTGTTGCAGCTGGTCCACCGGCCGTCCGTCCGGTCCGTCCTGCAGGGTCTGATGAAGAAGAGACTCCTGCCGGCCGAGCACTGCATCACCAAGAGTGAGTTCACTTTGATCTGAGAACATGTGAAACACATCTAATATTAACACAGATGAGAGGAAACATACAGGATTGTATTTCAGTTTTCTGAATAGTGGTATTTCTGTCTTAACTTAAATAAAAGATACTTCTTCCACCAACGTGCATATCAACGCAACCCTACCTGCAACCCTTTAGTTTTCCCTGGAGGTTGTTTTTTAAAGAAAATCTGATGTTTCTGTTTCAGTAAAGAGAAACTTCAGCAGTGGGACGATCCCCGGGACTCCAGGTCTGAACGGAGAGGACGGCGTCGAGCAGACAGCGATCAAAGTTTCCCTCAAATGTCCGATCACGTTCAGACGGATCCAGCTGCCGGCCAGAGGGCACGACTGCAGACACATACAGGTAAACACACACACACACACACACACACACACACAAAAGGTCTGTAACGGTTCATGGATTCGTACGGAGGTCACGGCAGGTACATTGATGCACGTAATGCAGAACCAAAGTAGGAGTTCTGCCTGGCAACGTTTAGCCGGTACGCCGTTGGCAACATATGCTATTAACACATATGAGGTGAGGCGGCACAACGAGCTGATTTTTGTGCGAGCGAGTCGGTCACATCGTGGCGAGCGCAAATGAAACATCAAGAGCTGGACGACCGGCCTGCAGGTTCCCCCGGTCTGCTGCATCAACTACGGAGAGAGAACTGAAGAACCAAACCCTGACTCCTGTGTACCTTACACCCCTAAAACAAACCCCTGTACATGCAGATAACTCCGTGTTTTTACTCACTTAGAACCGGTTCCTGCTTAGAACCAGGTTTCGGGGGCGTCCCTACTCACACTGATGTCTCTTAATTCGTAGTGTTTCGACCTGGAGTCCTACCTGCAGCTTAATTGCGAAAGAGGAACCTGGAGATGTCCTGTGTGCAAGTACGTTCTGCATTCAGGTCTCGTTGCACCTTTTTCTAGAACCAGAACGTCTCCGCGTGAAGCGTAACCGCGTGTTCATTTGTTTGGTTCTCAGTAAAACGGCGCTGCTAGAAGGGCTGGAGGTGGACCAGTACATGCTCGGGATTCTCGTCTACATCCAGAAGTAAGTGTGTTTAAAACATGGAGTTCACGGGAATGGATTCATTCTCAATGTTCTGACCCTTCTGCGTCCTCCTCACTCAGTTCTGACTACGAGGAGATCACCATAGACCCGGTGTGCGGCTGGAGGCCGGTGCCCGTCAAACCGGACCTGCACATAAAGGAGGAGCCCGACGGTCCGGTGCTGAAGCGCTGCCGGACCGTCAGCCCGAGTCACATGGTTCTGCCCAACGTGATGGAGATGATCGCCGCTCTGGGTCCGGCCTCGTCCCCCTACCACAGTCTGAGCGGGGGGGGCCGGAACACGCCCGACTACAACCGGCCAGGTAGAAAATACTAATGCTACGCTGTACAAATACTAATGCTACGCTGTACAAATACTAATGCTACGCTGTACAGATACTAATGCTACACTGTACAGATACTACACAATGCTATACACAATGCTATACTAATACTACACTGTACAAATACTAATACTACGCTGTACAAATACTAATGCTACACTGGAAGAATACTAATGCTACACTGGAAAAATACTAATGCTACGCTGTACAGATACTAATGCTACGCCGGACAGATACTAATGCTACGCTGGTTACAAGTGAAAAAAAGTATGGAAAAGAAAATGTACTTCAAATAAGAAATGTGAAAATCAAATCTGTAAAGTAACTAAGGTAAAGGAGTAAAAAGTACAATATGTACCTCTGAGATGTAGTGAGGAGTATAAAGTAGCATAAAATTAAAATATTGAAGTACAAGTACCTCAAACTTGTATGGAAGCCCTTTTCTGCCAATTTGATGAAAAAAATGTTGGTCGTTGAGTAATTGTAAACAAGTAATCGGCTTGTTTCTCCAGATAAAATATAGAATTAAAAACCACCAAGATATTAAGTGCGTCTTAAACGGGACATAAAGTCATATATATATATATATATATATATATATAGTACACAATCAGTCAGATCCTCTCTTAGATGGGCGCTGACCCAGAACGATAGTTGAAGACGTCCTCTGAAGCTCCACAGCTGGAGGCGTTTTCCCTCCTCCTGATCAGCTGTTTTTAACTCTTGTTTTGTTTTTATTTTAGGGAGCCAGGGATTCTCCAGCCAATCGGGATTCACGGACTTCCCCAACACCCCCGGCACCCCGACGCTGGGAGAGTACTCGTCCTCCGGACCTCCGCTCCCCTATCAGCCCGAGCAGGTTCCACACTTTATCTTTACTCCTCCGTTAACAAAAGAAAAGCCTCTTCATGTCCCTTTTCTGTTGGCTTCACTTCCTTTAATGGACGAGTCGACCACAATGACACAATGACGGCCTGAGTATGAATAGACAGCAGCCTGAGGGGCTGAGGGTCTTTAGAGGTAAAAAATAAACTCAACCAGTGAAGATAAAAGAAGAGGGATGTTGAGTTCTTTTTCTTTATTACATCAGTAAATCCCTCAAAAATACCAAAACCAACAGTGAATGTAGTGAAAGAGGTGCTGAAGGACCGCTTGTGTTTGCAGGGATTCACACTTCTTGTTAATTAACTATTTAGGTTTTGTCTCGTAAATTTACCACTTTTAACCTCGTAAATTCAGATTTCTTTCTGAATATTACCCGCCGTCCCCGGCTCTGCGATTCATTCATTCTTCTTAATTCTAAAACAAATAGATAACCGTCGTTTTTACCCTCTGTGTCTCCTTTTCATTCTCTCATCACGTCTCTGCATTAAACCCAAAGAACAACAGGATGTTTCTTCTAATGCGTCCCCGTCGGTTCGGTTCCTTCCTTCCTGGACCTGTCGGGTCTAAAGGCTCTGACAGTTTGCCGCTGCATTCGTCACCAGCACTGACTGTCTCGTCCTTCTGGCCCGTGAGCTCAGTTAAGAGCTTTTAGCTGAAGCTGAAGTAGACAAACACTCCTCTCACACCGGCTGCCTCAGACAGCCGCTCGGCCGTCGCACACTTCTGGTGCTCTCAAGAAAAACACCAACAAGAGCTCCAGGCGCCGTGTTGACCCTCTGTGAATCCAATGTGTTGTTGTTTATTTAATTACCATAAAATAAAGATCCTCTCGTCTCTGTTGTGTCTCTTCCTGATCTCCAGACGTCTCACTCTGGACGAATCGAACACGCCCACAGCATCCTGCAGCAGCACGGCTCGGGCGTCCACGGTAATCAGGGCCTCGGCGACGCCGGCAGTCCGCTGCCGCAGCGGAACGTCGGTACCCAGAATGCCCGGCTGCAGAGCGAGGGCCCCTTCGTTCTGGGAGGCCCCGGAGGGGAGGGCGCCGATCACGCACTAGATGTGAGTGTAACCGACCTGTTGATCATGTGATGGGAAGAGCTCAGAATTAAGGAGTCTGTTTGTAAATTGAGGGTTTATCAAACTATTAAAAATACCGATACCACTCTCCTACTTATTGTAAATACGAAGCCGGTTATCTTAGTTTAGCATAGAGACTGGAAACGGAGGGAAACAACTAGCCTGGCTCTGTCAAAGGATAACCAAACCTCGACCTGACAGCATCTCTAGATCTCCCTGATTCAAAAAGTCATATCATCTGTTTAATCTGAACAAATCCCAAAGTGTAAAAAGTAGAATTAGATGTTTTGTGGAGCGTCATGTCCCAGATTATGTGTCAGATTATTGTACAAAATATTCACTTCTCGTGACAGATATCTGAAGCCGTGTTCCTTTGTTTTCCTTCCAGTTGATCTCCTTTAACTTCCTCTGTTTTGTTTAAATAACTCGGATATTCTCTCAGATTAAAGTCTTAGATTTTCGAGAGAAAACTCACAAATTTACGGGAAAAAAGAAACTCGGGAAAACTTGTGTATTGTTTTTTTTTTTTTTTTTTTCTTAAGGACCCACATCACTTCACTTTGCACGGTTGGATCAACACCACAAACACCTCCGGTAAACACTGCGGTAATGTGAGCCGCCGAGTGCAAAATATATGAATTATATTAGAATTCATTCATGTTCAGAAAATAACACAAAAAAACCGAACATGAAAGAAAACAAAGTGTGTTTTGCATCTTTCAGGACCTTCTAACCAAAATAACTCTGCTGGCTGGCGTTACCACGGTGTTGCATCATTTCTCACTTCTTTTCCTTGCAAATGTACGACTTCATTTATTCCTTTGATCTTCATGAATCAAAGACGATCACTGAGATCTATAATCTCTGTAACGCGGTGCTTCTTGGCCAAGATGGCCGCGGAGAAGTTGTCCCACATTTAAACACACAGACTAAAAACAGGTGAAAGGTTTTTAAAAACTACGTTAATAATCTCAGACGATATTCAAGATTTTTGTCTAGTTTTATTTTTTTTCACTTGCAAATTTGTGACTTTAATCTCCGAGAATATTTAAATTTCTTCTCGTAAATTTACGAATTTAACCTCAAAGAATTAGTTTTTTTTTCATTTCAAATTTCATCATCTCTGAGAAAGTGTTGTTGTAAATTTTATTATTTAATCTCGGATTATTCCAGATTATTTTTTTACGAATTTGTGACTTTATGCTCTCACTGAATATTTAAGTTTCGTCTCGCAAATTTACGATTTAGATCTGAGTTTTTCTGAAGGTTTTTTTCTCGTAGATTTATGACTATAATCTTCAAAAATATTCAAGTTTTTCTCCTAAATCTACGACTTAAATCTCAAAGAATTGATGAGTTTTTTTCATCGCAAGTTTATGACTAAATGAATTTACAACTTTAATCTCAGAGGATTTGTGAAGACTACGACCTCCTCTGGCTGCGTAATCATCTCTTTGGTTCCTTCTGCGCTCTAGTACACGTCATCCTTCAGCGTTTGATAAAAGCATCTCTCTCTCTCTAACCTCTCAGTCCGGACTCTTAAACCTGTGAACTTGGTGTTTTGATTTAACCTTAAACTCTGTGCCTGTCGTTGAAGCTTCTTCCTGAACTGACGAACCCGGACGAGCTGCTTTCGTACCTCGGCCCCCCCGACCTCCCCAACAACAGCAGCGACGACCTGCTGTCTCTGTTCGAGAACAACTGACCGCCTCCATCTTCCAGCCTCCGCTTCGCCGTAGCCCCGCCCTCATTGGTTGAAGACGACGCCCACTTCCTGTGTGTGTGTGTATAAATGCGTGTGTGTGTGTCAGTCTATCTTTTAAAGCGTCCTGCTGTACTTTGAGCTTCATCCCGTGCAGCAGGATGCAGAACACTCTGCAGACCAGCATTTCTAAACTATAGCACAAACCAGCGGCTGAAGGATGTGAACGCGCAGTATTTAAGTTCTAGACGGCCGTGGTGGAGGTGGAGGGTAACGGAAGCCGTTTGTGTGGATGTCAATGGAACGTTAATTCAACAGTGGTTCCCAAACTCCCTTTTTTACTGCACACGCACATTCCTGGTAGATCGCCATCTTTCTGCCGTTTACCTCAAATATTCAATCATCAACATTGTGTTAAAGTTGCCAGAGATGTAAAGTCCTTTCTTGTAATATTTTACCCCCCCTGCCCCGCCCCCTCCTGATGCAACCTCCCAGTTTGGGAACCACTGCATTAAAAGTAAAAGCTCGTGATATTCTTTTATTCTTCTATATTAATATTAATCCCATGAAAAGACCAAAGACTCTCATTTCTCTGATTGTGCCTCCTCGACTTCGTTCCTCGCCTCCTCTCCTCGCGTCTAAACGCCTTTACAAATTAAAAGCACGTAAATATGCAAGGTATTCTCCTTTGAATATTATATATCTAGGGCTTTTATTGTGAAAGGTCTGCGCTTCCCTTCGCGGTTGAAAGGAGTAATAAAATATTCACGTTCTTTCTGAAAGAACGACAAAAACAACAGTTTAAAAAATATCTATTGAAATGTAATTAATCGCTTAAAAAAACAAAGAAAGTGTAAAAGCCTTTAAGATGAGAGTGGAGGAGGCAAGGAGGGAGGAGTCAAGGGAACAGACATTTAACAAACTGATACTGCGGAGCTCAAGTTGATTAAAGCCGTCGGTTCTTATTTATTCATCTCTAAAAGAAACCAGTGATCAGTGATCTCCTGAAGCAGCTGATCTCTAGCTTTGTTGGGGACTATTTTCAGCGGCGGATGAATCCACATGTGGTGCTCTAGTGAGTGTTTGTGTGGTTGAGTCAGAATAAACTACAGTGATGATGAAGATGATGAAGGGACAGCATTGGTAGAGTTTGGATCTTTTCGTGGGATTAACAGAAACAGAATATCACCAGATGAAGACGTTGATGTGAGATAAGGGCAGCGAGTAAAAGAGAAAAGATAAACAGATGTACAAAAGTATTTCTTTTTAAAACCCTGAGGTTTGGGAGCGCTGAGGTCCTTCAGCACTGTGAATATATAAAGAACCGCTCCCGTCTCTCCGTCGGGTTCCTCTCCAGCATCCTGTAAATGAGAACCGCTGTGTCGTGGCTTTTTCTGCCATCTGAAAGCTCTTGGTATGTTTTTAAAAAGGTGTTCTGGACGTGTATAACCCATCCGCGCTTTGGGTTTGTGTACTGTGTAATCGGCTGTTTTCATTAGAGAACGTGTGTGTATCAAATGAATTGTTAATCATGGTAATTTTAATGTTCTTTAGTTGGATAATGGATCATCGTTGGCACTGTATACATACTGTATGTTAGAAGAATTATAAAGCGATTGTAAAAAGGTCCCGCGGTGACGTGCAGACGTGCAGCGCCGCAGTTAACGAGGAAGACGTCTTCTTCATACCACTTTCTAAAACGCTGACGTTTGTGTTTTTCTATGAATGAGTTCACCGTCGTGGTCCAACAAGAAAGAAGTGGAGCAACACAATAATGTTATTATATTTGGGAAATTATGAACTTATTTAACTGCAAATTTGCTAGAAAAAAGAAGGAAAACCAGTTTTTTAATATGTAAACTATTCCACATATTTTGTAACACATTGTAATTGCCATTATTTTCTATTTATTTTTTAATCATAATCGTCATTGTACCTGCAGTTACCTTGTCCCTGAACCTCAGAATTAAATCACTTTATCTGAACACGGTTTGTTCTGGTGTTTCTGAGACGTCTCATGAAGTGATTCTTTATACGTTATCAGCTTCTTCTTCTTCAGTATTTACTTGTTCTGCTCTTTGTTTGAAGATATTTAAACTTGTACTTCTCTACATTTATTCTTTACAGCAGCGTAAAACTCTCTCTAAACTTCACGCGGTTTCATTTCATCACGTTTGAGGCCAAAGGGATAAAATGATCTTATATTAAAACACATTTGTGTATTTTTACTGCAGAACAAGTACTTGTACTTTTGAGACTTAAAGTAGAAAATACTTTACTTTCAGTAGAATCAGAATCCGGTTTATTGCCACAGAAGTTGTCACATGAAGGCAAATATATTTTAATTAAATAAATTAAGAACAGAAACAATTACAATAAACACATTTAAAATAAAGAAATATGAACAATGTAACTGCAGAACTTCTAACGCAGCAGATTTAATTGTTTAAACTAATTATTTGATTATTTAAATAAATTAATTGTTAATACATTATTTTTTAATCACTTTTACTTCAGTAGCAGATCTGAGTACTTCTCCCCGCTGGAGTACAAGTGAGTAAATTATTTACTGCATTTATTTATTTAATCAACTTTTGTTTTTTTAAACATATTTAAGATAAAATAAGATAGAACTTTATTAATGCTGAAGGCAATTATTGTGCCAGAGTTTCATTTAAGATTACAAAAGTAGAATAAGAAAAAAACAATAAATATAAATATATATGAACAATAGAATAAAAATAAATAATACTGACACCATTGCCAAATAGAACACAATAGCAATAAGAGTAAGGAAAGTAAACAAAGATGAATACAGGAGTAAATCATAAAGTGTATAAGAAGTGATAACACCAGAGCTTAATGAAACTAAAATATGAGATGTTATCAATGACGTTGAATAAGTAGAAAGTTATATTGTAGATTAATAACTAATATTGCACATGAAATTGAAATATTGCACCATGTTGAAAGATGTTGCACATAATGTGGTTATTATTGCTGAAAGTGTCCACGTGAGATTATCAAACATTCTTCCACTGAAAGCCTTCAGACCTGATATTTTGGGTGAGTTGGATTCTGCATGTAATAACGACAGACGGTGCGCGGTCCGGGTGGATGTTATTTAGTATTTTATTAATCATCTCACCGCTTCACACGTATCTTCGTTCCTATTGGTCCGTCCTGGAGCCCTCGCAGATAGAACGCGCCTGTGATTGGCTGTCGGCGGCTCCTCTACGTCACCGGTGCTTCGGCCCTGCAGCACATAAATACGGACCAGAATAGATTGTGTGTCGTTGAAGTGCGCATCTCCATCACGGACCACAGAACACACGCGTGTCCACAAAGATGGGGAACCCCAGAGTGTTCTTTGACATCACCATCGATGGAGCCAATGCTGGCAGGCTTACAATGGAGGTGAGACCAGCACTTCATTTCAGCTTTAAATATAGATTTATGTTTAAAAGGCCTCTGTCAGACAGTATGTCAACTTCTCTCATGCAGCTTGTAGGCTTCCATTTTGGCAGCCTTTTGCATAATATATAGCCTGCATATTGTTTATTTTTAATATCCTGCGATATGATTAATTGCATAATGAATCACATCCTGATGGAAACGCGCAGCAGCAGCACAGCTGGAAGATTAATAAACGTTATAGTGCAGTTATAACGGGCTGTAAACCTCTGGAGCAGCTTATCGCACGTGTCTCCACATATAAACACAATAATGAAAAGTCAATTCATCCATTAGACAATCAAATTCTAGTTTAAATGTTTATCTCAGCTTCTTCCTGTCGGTGCATTTAGAGTCAACCCTCCGCCTGCTTCTGTTCCTGCTTCACTCACTGAGTCGTCTTGTGTTTTGCAGCTCCGGGCCGATGTTGTCCCAAAGACTGCAGGTAAGATTCAACAGAAAGGAGAAAGCTTTATGAGTCCACTGCATGCAGAAGGAGCTGCACAGACCTGCTGAGATCAGCTGAGGATTAATTGTGAAAGTGGGTCGAGGCTGTGGGTGTGAAGGCGTTGATCAAAAGAAGTGTTTGGCTGTTTGCAGAGCTCAATGTGAGAGGAGATGTGTTGATGAGAGGAGGGAGAAGATATATTTAGTGTAGTGTGCTGGTATTAAGAGTAGTTATCTGTGCTGTGGCAGGAAGCTTTGGACCGGAGTGAGACTCTCATCATCTCAAGAGGGAACTAAATACTGAAGTTCAGCTGATCACAATGTAAATCAAAGTGACCACAAAGAAAATCAAAACGACCACAAAGAGACTCAAAACAACCACAAATTAGCTTAAAATGACTACAAAAAGTGGCAAAACAACCACAAAGGGACTCAAAGTGACAACCGAGACACAAAAACAATCATAAATAGTCTCAAACTACTACAAAGACACACGCAACAACCACAAAGAGACTTTAAACGACTACAAAAAGATGCAAAACAACCACAGAGACTTAGAATAACCTCAAAGACTCTAAACATCCACAAAGAGACTCAAAACAACCTAAAGAGACTCAAACTACTCCAAAGAGACTCAAACGATGTAAATGAAAATAGAAACATGAAGTAATCAACAGCTGTCTAGTGACTAATACTTACTGGTGATATGAACTTATTTTTTTGTATCTTAGTTGGTGTAAGTATATTTAATGAAGCGACTTGTCTTTTATTTTACAGAAAACTTCCGTGCTTTGTGCACCGGAGAGAAAGGCTTCGGCTACAAGAACTCCACGTTTCACCGACTCATCCCCAAGTTCATGTGCCAGGTACCGTGAAGGCAAGAGCTGTGTCCTGTTTCCTGCTTCGGTCACATGATGGAGATTTGATTTCTGTTGCCACAAAAATACTGAGTGAACTCTTTTATTTCAGGGCGGGGACTTTACCAACCACAACGGAACCGGAGGCAAATCCATCTACGGGGAGAAGTTTGCAGACGAGAACTTCCAGTTGAAGCACACGGGCCTGGGCACGCTGTCCATGGCCAACGCCGGGCCCAACACCAACGGGTCCCAATTCTTCATCTGCACGGATAAAACGGACTGGTGAGCTCCACTCTGGACCCTCGAGTGCTGCTGCATTCAGGTTCCAAAGCAACAACAGAAAGAGAGTGTGGTCTCGCATGCTAATCAGGCTTCCTCTTCTTCTTCTTCTGCTCTCCAGGCTGGACAAGAAGCACGTGGTGTTTGGCAACGTCGTGGAGGGCGCCGACGTCGTCAAGGCGATGGAGAAGCAAGGCACAAAGAGCGGCACCCCGAAAGCCAAAGTCGTCATCGCCGACTGCGGGGAACTGAAATAGTGCGACAAAGCTCCTCCAGTCTCCATGCACCCTTCATTATCCACGTCCCAGTTTGAGATGAGTGTTTATCTGCAGCATCAGCAGGAACACACAGAATGAACTCTTCATCCTCTGGACGTTTGCTTCCTGCGTTGATGATCGTCGTGTGACATTTTGTACCTTCTAGCCCGTTCTCTGGGACCACCTTTCTGAATAAAATGATGCTGATGGTGTAAATAAAAGTACTTGAAAGCTTACTCTTTGTCCTGTTATTGATTAACACCTGAGTTAATTAATAACATTAATCTTGATATTTTTGCTTTTTAATAAAGCAGTCACAATAGTATAATTTGATTAATGGCAGTCAGAACTAAACAAGTATTTTCCTTGTTGCAGTTGACACCTTTCACCACTAGAGGTCAGTACAGACATGAACTCTGTCGTGTTTCTCATAACTTTGTATTTTTCAGTTCTGGTGATTTAATCTTTGGTGCAAAAGTTATATTACTGCAAATAAAACAATACTTGTATTAACAAATGTGTATAAAATCTCGTTTCATGCACCTTTAAGGAGTACCTTCTTCCTCCAGAAGTACTGAGTAAATGTACTTTCAGGAGGAATATTTATATTTTATTTAAATCTTTTGACAGACACACAGCTCTAACTGAAGCACGTGTCTCTGTTTGCCGGCAGACATCTCGACATGAGGTAGGTTCACTTCCTGCACGTTGCCCTCTGGACCTCCCATCGTCCACCGCGCTGCGTCCTGACGCGTCTGAACACGACTCATTTCAAATAACTGATTTTCATGGTGAAACCCGCCCATGGTGTCGTGTTACCAACCGACAGCGCCTGGCATTAAACCCCGCCCATCGTCGTTCCTATTGGTCCATTCATGAGCCTCAAAGAAGAGCCTGTTTGTGATTGGCTGTCAGCCGCTCTGACGTCACCGGACAATGCATAAATACAGGCGAGGATAGAGAACCGAGGCGTTGCTCATTCCAGTGTTTTTCCACCATAACCAGATCTCAAGCGTGTTCGTGAAAATGGCGAACCCTAAAGTATTCTTTGATATCAATATTGATGGCAAATCGGCCGGCAGGATCATAATGGAGGTAAGATGCACGTCACGACAATCAATTCATTTTTCTCACTTTGCGTTATTTCAGCTGTGATGCGTTAAATCGCTACAATGTGTTCCCTCCATCTGCACGGTTTGCTGACGGCTTTGTGTCTGTGTTCTGCAGCTGCGCGCTGATGTGGTGCCGAAGACTGCAGGTATGTGAGCTCTGCCGAGGAGGAGGCGTCGCTGCAGCAGCACGAGCTGCGGAGCCGCTGCTCTCTCTCTGTCCGCACTCCTACAAAAGCGTTTGTGATTGGCTGAAAGTCCTCACCTGAGCGGTTAATCGTATACAGGGCGAGGCCGTGGCGGCGTGGGAGCCCGAATACTCAGTTACAGAGCCAAGTGTGGGCGGATAGTCGCACCACGAGAGCTGCTGCTGCCATTACTAATGCAAAGCCGGAAGTGAGACCACGAGTATAGGAAAAAAACTAACTCGCTCGAAATGTGCTGGTTTTAGTCAATCCCACCCGGTGGACGATGGCGATGTATTGGTGAAACTGTCCTTCAACGTTAATGCAACTACCAACAAAATAACCTGCATGATGCTGGAAGTAGTTCGTTCTATGATCTCATTTAAACCCAGTGGCCGAAGAAGGAAGTGCCTCCATGCTTCCTTTGTGCACGCAGTAGCTTAGTGGCTCAAATGCGTCACGCCGTTTCTGACATTTTCTTTAAAGCGAAGTGCATGAATGCAAAACGACCACAAAGATATTTCAACGACTACAAAGACTCAAAACAACTTCAATGACATTTTAACAACCTTAAAGAAACACAAAACTACCACAAAGAGACAAAACGACGTCAAAGAGATGCAAAATTGCTATTAAAAAAATTTAACATTATCACTAACAAATTCAAAATGACTACAAAGTCACAGGCGGCCACAAAAACGACATCAAGGAGATGCAAAACGACCCCAAGTGATGCCGTATTCCTAGAAAGATTCAACATGCAGCATCACTCGGCATGTAAAGCCGTGTTGCAGGTGCAGAGGTAGTTTAAAATCATTGATGCAAAAGAAAAAATAAAGTATTCAACCGTCCGGCTAGTGACCTCGGGTGGTTTTAATTTAAAGCAATACATAGTTTTGTTTTGTTTTTTGTTTTTTTTACTGGTGACCTCAACCTATAATTTAGTTGTATTCTTTAAATGACTGAGTATATTTAATGAAGCGACTTGTCTTTTATTTTACAGAAAACTTCCGTGCTTTGTGCACCGGGGAGAGAGGCTTTGGCTACAAGGGCTCCTCGTTTCACCGAGTCATCACCGACTTCATGTGCCAGGTAATGTGACGGCTAGATCTTTGTCCTGTTTCCTTGTTTCCACCAGTTCACATCCTGGATTTGTGATTTCTGTTGTCATCTGAGCCTTTCCCCTTTCTGTTTTCTTTATTTCAGGGTGGGGACTTTACCAAAGGCGACGGAACCGGAGGCAAATCCATCTACGGGGAGAAGTTTGCTGATGAGAACTTCGCCTTGAAGCACACGGGACCTGGCGTACTGTCCATGGCCAACGCCGGGAAAAACACCAACGGATCCCAGTTCTTCCTCTGCACAGTCAAAACATCTTGGTGAGCTCCGCTTTGACCCGTGTGCTGCTGCGTTCACGTTCAAACCAACAGTGTCGGCTCATTTCAGATGTTCCTTTCTCCTCCAGGCTGGACGGGAAGCACGTGGTGTTCGGCAGCGTTGTGGAGGGCATGGATGTCGTCAAGAAGATGGAGGCGGTCGGCTCATCAAGCGGCAAAACTTCTAAGAAGGTTGTCATCGCCGACTCTGGTCAACTATAGTGCAACACAGCTCCTTCAGTTCAGATTTAACCATTCATTATCCACATCCCATTTAATCTTAGAGATGATGTATATCTGCAGCATTAATAGACAAACACAAATTTATCGGTTTTATCACGTTTCGTTCCTTCTAATCTGATTTTCTACGACCCCATTTGTCAACAATCTGACTAAAATGATTCTTATTGTCTAAATAAAGCAAGTTTAAAAGTTTCCTTTGTTTGTCCCTCTTGTTGGTGAATACCTGAAATGTTCTTTCATTTGTGCATTAAGTGTTTTCATTAGTTTATCGCAACGTTAGAATTTGATCACAAGTGACTGTTTATACACAAGTACACATTTTACCACTAAAGGTCATCAATGCAGTATAAATCTATTTAATACAAAATGGACTACAACAGCTATGATAGTTTTTATTGTTTCTGATCAAGTACATCATTTATCAATACTCTGTTTACAATAAAAACAAACAAGTAAAAACGCAAGGTGACGTACACGTATTAAGGCATCAACGTCTCCTTTGCCAGTTTTCTCCTTCAATGAACTCAAAGTGATACAAAAATAAACCCAAAAGAAGTCCAATAGAAAAGTAAAGATATCACAAGAATATAAAGAAGAATCGAGACAGACGACCAATCTCGGCACAGAACCCACAAATGCAAAACCCACATCCGATACAGCAAAGGGAAAATATCCACGGATAGTTCACCTGTTTATCGTTTCCTGTTTGTTTTAACTGAATGGAGACGAAAAGGCAGATTCTGCTGCACCAGGACATCGTGGTTATTTAACAGAGCGACATCGGGAAGGAAGTCTGATTCCCTGAACACAAAACATAACTTCATGCCTTCACAATACCAAATACCAAATGTTATAGAAAGAATGTGCCGGTTTAAAACAACCAGGATCTCATGAAAATATCTGTCATGTGATAGGGATACAAAGGGGGTCTGATGTAGCCCCCAAGTAGCCACCTATGATGCTAATAATTTAACACACAAATTGTCCCCTTAAACCCGTGATCGAGCTTTTCCAAGGCCTCAAACCCAAATTCTTTTGGAAAATATATGCGGTGAGAAGTTAGATGAGACGATCAATACTACGCGCACGTCTGTTGTGCGGTCAAGTATGAAGACGATTAGCTTAGCTTAGCATAATGACTGGAAATGTTGGGTAACAGCTAGCCTAGCTCTCTCCAAAGTTTAGAAAAACAAGGCTATGTGGATCATCAAGGGCCGATGCTGCCATGTTAGCTTAACGTCCGTCTGTTAGCATGATATTAGGTATGTAGCCATCATCAGGCGCATATTTCAGACTACTCAGCTGGAAACATTAAAAAGTCTGCTTTAGACAAATTTTCTGCCAACTCAATAGAAACTGGTTAGCTAGAGCTAATAAAAACCTACAAGCATAAATTTGCGCCACATCATCACACCGTCGCTGTTTGTAAATGCACTTCATAAAAAAATATTGTTTGTTTGAAACAAACTGTAAAAATGTAAAAACAAGTTACACAGCCAGGCTAGCTGTTTCCCCTTTGCTTCCAGTCTTTATGCTAAGCTAATCGCCTCCTGCCTCAGCTCCATACTTAGCCCATGTGTGGTATTGATCTTCTCAGCTAACTCTCAGCAGGAAAGCGAATAAGCTCACGTCCTAAATCTTCAAACTATACCTTTAAATCTCCACAAACTGTACAAATCCACCAATCAGCTTTTGTATTTACATTTTTTCCCGCGTGTGAGCTGAGGAAACGACGTTACTTCATCATAGTGGTGGTAAATAAACAAAAACAGCACAGACGAAGACCACAAGTCACGAGAAAATATGTTTGGTACTTGAGGTAATTAATTAACAAACACATATTTGAAAAGCTGGTTTGAGTTTCAGCATCAAGACAAAACTCTCCTGACATCCAGGCAGTTGGTAGCTTTTGCGACGGCACGTTTGAGGTTATTGTCTCCCACTGAACGTCGGCTCTAAATGCTTCGTGTGCTGGCGTATTTAAGTATCACTGAGAGAGTACTACTCTGGACTAGCTAACAGTCACTGTGAAGTTGGAGTAATACACCAGACTGGAAGTTGTTTCGTAGCTTCGTTAGAGTCTGAAGCACCGTTCGGACGGGATTCATTTTTCCAGTTGAGGTGGAGTGAGTTTCTACTCGTCCCATTCTTGTGTCGCCTTGAGCGAATTTCTTCAAATTCGGCACAAACGTCCACCTGGTCATCAAAAGTTGCTGTGACCTCACAAAATAAGGCTCGAACTCATGACAATTTCACACAAATGTTTAAGATGGAACTGCACCTTGACTGGTTGGCGGCCGCATACAACCGCGAGGCGGTAATTCTAATTAAGAAAAAGGAGTAAACTGAATGTTCTAACTGAACACCAACATAAAGGCCAACTTGGGAAACAACATCACGGCCATATAAAGCCACCAGGAGAGCTACACCCCATAAAAGCTCATCAGATATGCTGTTGAAATGCCAGTTTAGAGAAAGTGTTTTTTAAGCCTATAGTACCATTAAAAGTATGCCAAATTAGCATTTAGCAGTTCCCGTTAGCAGTGTATCCATTCACGTACGGACGACTATCACCAGACTACTTTGAGGCTGAAAAAAACTTAAAAACGTGACGATTCTCAAGGACGTTCTGATTCTTTTTTTTCCAAGATTTCCAAGTGGATTTGTGGACATTTAGTCACGATGGACATAAGATAGTAATACATCTGGAAGTGTAAGACACGCTGAATCTGAAAATACGTGTTTCAAGTCTGAGTGTTCAGATCTGAGTGAGTTATGACTCTTTATCTTTCTGTTTGTCCTGCTGAATTGTCCTCGTCTTTTACAGTCCTTTCCTGTAATTTCACGATGAGTTGAACAGTGAATGTTACATTCCTCCACCTCCACCTGTAATGTCAATCCCATCCCAATGGGCTGAGGTCTCTTCTCTGCTGGGTGAATTTCAGATCGTCACACACAAGATATCCAGTAAAAAACAAAGTCAAGAAAGGACTGTGATTATTTGAAAAACACTGGATTGAAACAATACATTGAACGTGAATAAAACACGTAACAACACTGTAATACAATAATCAACAGGCTACATGACTGTGCTGGTTTAGACCTGGGCTACGACTGGAGTGTCAGTTGTTCTGAGCTCTTAATGACACTTGCTGAATGTACAAAAGTAAGTTGAGGGAAGACCTGCAAAGACTTAATCTATGGGGAAGAATCACTGAGCAAGAGTCTTCTTTCTGAGGGAGGTTGGATTACAAAAGACATGTTTGGCCCACATGTGGACACGCACTCAAAAAACAAAGCGTGGGGCCCCTTAAATCCAAACCCTGAGCCCCAAACCAGCTGATAGGAACACTGCAGATAACCTGGTTTTACTGGTAGCACTAAAGGGGCCAGTGGCAATACTGTTACATCCATTTTAACCTGGTATTTGTTGAATCCTGCACACCATCGATCACTTTAACTAATTAATTTTTCCTGGAGACCCAGGACGTATTGCTGGGCCCGCTGGAGGGAAGGGAGGCACGGGAGAACCAGAACCAGGACTGAGAGGAGCAGACTGTCAGACCCTGCTGCAGTAGAATGAGAGGTTTTCTAAAGGGAGTCTGGTGCTCATGAGAAACACCACCGCTTTAGTCCACAGGGGGCGCCAGAATCAACCTGGAAAAGAAAGTTCCTTGTAGCAACTTTAATAAATTGAGTTCAAGTGACAGACAGTTTGCAGGATTTTGAAAATATATATTATTTCATCTTCTTCCAGGATATTTTATCTCGTTTAAAGATCTTTAAAAGAGCGCTCGAGACATTTGTTTGAAATGTCCTGCAGTAAGAAAAGATGCACCAGAGATGAGACGCCACGTTGAGGGTCTCTGCAGTGTTTTAGCTGCCGAGGATTCTGTTCCTTTCTGTTCTTCTCTGTTGGTTCAGTGGCAGTGAAACATCAGGTCCAAGTGGAATGGTCTGAAGTTTGATTAAAAAACACTTCACTCTCGCATAAGAAGAGACGAGTTTAGCATGTGTGACCTTTTACAGCCAACTTATCGCCTGCGTCGTCACAGGTTGCATGTAATCAATAAACCTGACTCTTAACTGACATTAAACGTGTGTCATATCTGAAAGGATATTACTGGAGAGTTCCACTCCAGCGCTCACATTGTTTCAGAAGCTCAAACACAAATAAACAACAACATAATATAAATATATAAAAAAACGAAATAAAAAATTAAATAATAAATAAACAAATAGATAACTAAATAAATAGATAAATAAATAAATAAATTCATTGATTCCGAAGAATATCTGATATCAGATATCAGTTATCAGTCAAACCCTGCTGCCACTCAAAGCCACAGTGTCAGAAACCCACCAGTTGCTCCTAACCTGGTCCCATTACCTCTCCCAGTTTAACCCGACTAGCTGCTACCTCAGTGTGTGTGTGTGTGTGTGTGTTGAGCGGGTTTTCAGCTCTGCGGCGACGCCTTACGGCTCTCTCTCAGGATGCCGTCCAGGCCGTTGAGCTGGCGGAGGAAGCCCCGGTTGGGGATGACACCTCGGTGGTCCTTCACGGTTTTGATGGCCTCCACCAGCGTCAGGTTCTGTCGGATCATCAGGTAGGCCAGGACCAGCGTGGCCGAGCGGCTCACTCCCACAGTGCAGTGGACCAGCACCTTACCTGCACACACAATATGAACGTTAATCTGTTGTTGGTTTATTGTTTATCTGTCACAACTTTACAGTCCTGGTTCACTCGTTTACAGAGAAAAAGCTGTAAAAAGCCACTCAGGAGGTGGTGGAGACCAAAAACAGAGCTGAAAGAGAGACATTCTCATTCCCGACTCGTCACACACGAGATGCTATAGGTTTAAGAGCAACGTGTCAAACTATGATGAGCTGTTTTAAACAGGTGGTTTAGACTCATTAGTTGGGTTAATCGTTAACCATCAGAGTGTCAATAAAGTTTTATCGTTAACCATCAGAGTGTAAATAAAGTTTTATTGTTAACCATCAGAGTGTAAATAAAGTTTTACTGACTCAGTAGATCATGTGTTTCTAGTCTCTGATCTCTGATCATGTTTCATTGGAAACAACCAATCAGAGAGAGCTAGTAACGTTAGCAGCACCGCTAACGGCTAACCAACAGGAG